TAATAATTATTACCTTGTTAGCCAAGAAGAAAAAATAACTGGAAATGCAAGTTATCTGGAAGGAAAGGTCAAAATGGTTGTTTTACCTTGAATTGTATACAGTCAGGCCTCTCTATTTTTAAACATTGCTGGAAGTGAAGTGTATTATTTCAAAATAAATTTTATTTTTCACAGTAATACAAATGTATTTAGTTAGCCCATTCTCAGCCAAGGATCTGGCATTTTACAAAATCATAAACATAACCCCTAAAATCGCATAAATGAAAAGAACCGTAGCTATGAGCCAAGATAATTTTAAATGTAAAAATTAAAGCTTCTCATTTCAAGAGCTAAAAAAATACTATAAACACTGATTACTCCAGGGGTTCTAATATTCCATAAAATATTTATAACACTCACAGAAATACAGTATATCTGACCACATATTTTACTGAAAGTGAATGTGTTAGTTGCTATAGTTATTAAACACTTAAATGTTTTTCGTGGTGTTCTTCGAATTCAGAAGGGCCCATTTATAGAAGTAAAGAAGGGTAATTAGATGGCCTGAATTCCTTAAGTTTTCTAAATAAGGCTAAGTTAGTGCATCTTCCTCTCCTTTCGCAATTAAATTCTTCTAAAGAACTAATGGGCTCTCAAATTCTACCCTCAGCCTTAGAGTGTCTCCTAAACCTGTGGTCAGGGGCTGCCTGAATATTTGCTATGGTCGTTGCTTCTTCCTCTAAAACTGAAGTTTCAATGAAAGGGTTTTCTCAAGATTTCTGTACTTTACCCTATCTTATCTTCTTCATTTAAAAAAAAAACAACATAGACATTCTTTTGACTTCAGAGAAATGTAAAACACAACAACAATGACAACAAAAATGTGCTGTTAAGTCACTGGATTTCACACCTTATTAATGGCTGTCAGAGCACTTTACACTGGTAGGAAAGCATTGAAAAACCATTGCTAGTTCTCTGTTATAGCCTCTCAGAGAAGAAATTTCAAGGATCTCCAGTGAATTGTAAAGACAGGTACAAGCTGTGGAGCCTAAGAACCTCAAGGTGCCTCGAAGGGACCACTTTTTCTACTTTCTCCTGATTTTTTTTTTTTTTTTTTTTTTTGAGACTGAGTCTCCCTTATTGCCCAGGCTGGAGTGCAGTGGTGCAGTCTCAGCTCACTGCAACCTCAGCCTCCCAGGTTCAAGCAATTCTCCTGCCCCAGCCTTCTGAGTAGCTGGGATTACAGGCATCAGCCACTATGCCTGCCTAATTTTTGTAATTTTAGTACAGAGAGGGTTTCACCATGTTGATCAGTCTGGTCTCGAACTCCTGACCTCAGGTGATCTGCCCACCTTGACCTCCCAAAGTGCTGGGATTACAGATGTGAGCCACTGTGCCTGGCCTCCTCATGATTTTTAAAAGTGTATTTTAGGCCTCCTGAGGGCAGCACCCTCAAATGACAGCAAAACCTCCAAGAAAAGTATAAACTCTTCTTACACAATGCTTATTGTGATGACTTCTGGTTTTACCTTGATGGAATGTAAATATTCCCTGTCCTGGGATAGAATGAGGAAATTATAAAGGTGGCCAAATTTATACTCAGTGATCCTAACATTCCCTTTATACGAGTTCTAGTTTCTTCACAGTTTACCTACAGGGCTCCCTACTAATCTTGCACTCGTGGCCTTTATTCACCCTAAAGAGTAAATAACACTTTGAAATATTTATAAATAAATTAAATAATTAATGTACTTTAGCATTCAATGTGCTTTGACAGTGAAAATTTAATATTCTAACTTAATTGTGGGGTACAGGAAGCAGATAGAAAATAAAACTCTCTTTCTTCATCTGTAGGAAGGTCAGTCCTGCATATGTCTGTCAAATGCCTAAGACCTATATGAAAAATGTTGCCATTCAACATTCTATAAAATTTAGCTCAAGAAAGTGGCTGGGTGCGGTAGCTCATGGCTTTAATTCCAGTACTCTGGGAGGCCGAGGTGGGTAGATTACCTGAAGTCAGGAGTTCAAGACCAGCCTGGCCAACATGGTGAAACCCTGTCTCTACTAAAAATACAAAAAATTATCTGGGTGTGGTGGCAGATGCCTGTAATCTCAGCTACTCAGGAGGCTGAAGCAAGAGAATTGCTTGAACTTGGGAGGCGGAGGTTGCAGTGAGCCACGACGGCACCATTGTACTCCAGCCTGGGCATCAAGAGGGAAACTCCATCTCAGAGAAAAAAAAAGAAGGTAAATCACCATAATGCCTTTTTCAGGCCAAAGTTAAGAACTTGTACCACAGAGCATAAAAATACATCTATTAAATTTGTGTTCTTAAGATACTAGATAGCAGCATCTTGACCCCCCTCCAAAAAAAGTTAAATGTAGCTTAACTGTATTTAATAGATAACAATCATATAATATTTAGGGTGATGCAAAAGTAATTGTGGTTTTTGCAGTTATAACTGCCAATATACAACTGACTGTATCTTCTGACTCTAAGACTACTGACAATTAAATCACGAGTACTTTTGCACCAACCTAAGAAATATACAAAAAAATAGAACTCAGTTATATCTGCATATATTAAATAAGCATCTCTAATATCAGGTTCCCAAAAGCCTATCAGTAGCTTTATTTCTATTTTATTTTATTTTATATTATTTTAACAATAGTAATATTATTTCTTATATTTTAACATAAACTATTGATAGTATTCTTGCACCTTATCCTCAACATGTTGAAAACCAAATCCATAATAATATTCAAACCGCAACCCCCCCCTCAAGATCATCTGGTTCCCATTAATGGCACCAATAGACCCCTCCTTTCCATTCACACTGGAAGCCAGGAAGTCATCCTCAACTCACCCCAAGTCATCTCTCATATTGAAGATAAACTAATCTTTCAAAAGTGGAATTACTTTCTTGTCAATTCCTTGCTAGAAAAAAAGACGGAGAAAAAACTGATGCCTCTCTTTTACATGCTAAATTAAGCACTACTTCAATTTCCTGTGTTTTAAAACTATTTGTTATATTCATTAGACATCATAAATACCTTTAATTTGCATATATTGCATTCATATTATTGCTACTATAAATTATGTTTCTTTTTTTTTTTTTTTGAGAGGGAGTTTCACTCTGTTAACCAGGCTGGAGTGCAATGGTGCGATCTCAGCTCACTGCATCCTCCGCCTCCTGGGTTCAAGCAATCCTCCTGCCTCAGCCTCCTGAGTAACTGGGACTATAGGCACATGCCACCACACCTGGCTAATTTTTGTATTTTTAGTAAAGATGGGGTTTCACCATGTTGGCCAGGATCGTCTCGATCTCCTGACCTCGTGATCCACCTGCCTCAGCCTCCCAAAGTGCAGGGATTACAGGGCATGAGCCACTTCACCCAGCCTAAATATGCTTCTTATTAGCTAAACTTAATGACTACTAAATGGCAGGCATTGTCCTTATGCTTCATATAAATTATCTTAGATAATCTCAGGATAGATACTATAATATCTATTATATTTTATTCCTAAAATGCATAAATCAAGATCACAAAATTAGGTAATAGATAAGGAGAATTCATTTCAGCAAAAGTTGTGCTATGTCTAAAGTAACAGCAATAAGCCCTACAACAGCAGTGATTCAGCTGACTATATCGTCTGACCCTAAGACTAATGGGATTAATAATTCCCTTCCATCTGTCCTTTAAGATGAGTATAAATAAGAATTTCAAATGGAATTAGTGTTATTAGTATCCAGAGGAATTAGGGGAGCTGCTGGCAGAGGTCACAGAAAGTCTTATTCCGTATTTTCTCTGAGTTATGGCAGAGTAAAATGTTCCTTTTTGTAACTAATTTTGCTACTTCTTTGATGGTTATGTCTAGATTTTCCCCAACATTTCTGATTCCAGACTTTCTGCCTGTAACTCTCATAATCACAGGCATCGTTTAGGGGAACTGCACTAGAAGATATTCTCAAAAAACTTTGTAAAGCTACATGTAGACATGACGTTTTAAAGGGTGGGATATAAAGATGCTCATGGAAACAGAGTGAAAGGAAACTGGAGTCCTTAGACAGGTATTTTATCCTAAGTTATGGACTTACAATGCAAGGCTGGTGTTCCTCATGAAGGTATACAGCCAATAAATTAGGAGAAAATAGAACCTAAAACATTCTTTCAAATGGCCAGGCAATTGCAATGAACAAGAACAAGGAAGTATCCTTTCCTATTCCTTTCATAAGCACATTCCCTTTAATGAAAAAAAAAAGAAAAAAAATTTAGTAAACCTTGTAATATTAAAGGTTTGACCAGAATAGCAGCCTGTGTTTTAGAAGATGAAAATTTAATTACTTCTCATGATGTAAAACCCAAATATAAATGGAATTCTTTAACATATGTGCTCAATTAATCTATTTTAGATGGGATCAAATAATTAAAAAGCTATTGACATTTCAATTTTCTCTGATAATATGTTAGAATAAATTTATGCACACTGAATGTAAGAATGTTGAAGATAGTCCTCATTTTTTTATTGAGGAAGATTTCATAAAACTTGGTTAATGAATAGAAAGATGTTTCAAAATGCTCATATACTTTTAATTTTGAAAAACAGTTCTGTCACAAAATTTAGATATTAAAGGTCTATTGGTATACTTGGCATAAATAAATTAACTTGGATTGTTAATTAAATGTCAGATAACACACTAAGATGGCTAGGTATTTTACGATGACTTTAGAAAATTCCAAAAAGAAAACATTTGTCTCTTTACAGTGAAGGGATTGTAATGCAAAGCAAAGTCTCCAGGTGCTGAAAACATTCATCATTTTTCTCCCTGCAAAATGTCCCCAAAAGGAGATCGTCCAAGAAAAATTATATAAACGTGGACAATAGTTTTTGGTTTTACAAAAAAGTAGTGCTAATTAAGAAAGGAAAGATGTGGCTTTTCTAGGCTTTGCATCCTAGGTTGCTTGTTATTTTAGCTTCTCCAACCCAAGTCTATACTAACGTGTTTTTCTTTCTCCAGGGAGATAAAGAAGCTGAGTTAGGGCTTCCATTTTCCCCACTTTGTGATCGGAAGTCAACTATGGTGGCCCAGTCACAAATAGGTAATACTGATGACTTGTGGTAGTGGAGTATGTGTGTGCTTGTCAGTTTTCAAATGTATAAACCATATTGTTCAAAGGGTAACTTCCATGAAAACTTCACTCCATATTCATGATAAATTCGATTTTTAAATTGGTCTATATGGTGCTAAATAAGAAGTTTTGAAGCATTTTCACAAGATGAGTTCAATAAAGCAACATTAGTAAATATAATGGTTATCATGTACCTTTTACAAAATATAAAATATTCTTGTGCAGGAGACTATTTTATGCTGTTTCTTTTTTTGTTTTTGCTGATTATTGTTTTCTGTAATTTAATTTTTTAGCTATAGGTCAATTCAATGAAAATGTTAGTGTACTTGTTCTATCACTAAGTTTGCATGGTATGCTTAATATAGTAGTGCACATTTAATTTGGAAAAAATATTCTCTCATGATGTGAGATTAACCAACAACAGGAAATTTGCAAAATGATAATGCTCCCAACCACATTTATTCCTATCATCTGTATTTGTGTTGGGGACTTCAAGCTCAGTCCATTATTAAAACATATTATTGCTGTGCTACATGGCTCAAATACTTGACATAGTTATTCCTTGAGCCGGCATTTTTGTTACTGAATTATATGATCAATAAACATAAGGATCACTCCTTACCTCTGTAGTTATGCTCCGGCACCACCTATCACAAAGCTTTGGGGCAGTCAGCTGTCGGAGAGCTGGGTGCTCTGACCTTTTCCCTTCCCATTCAAGTTTCAACAGCTGTTTTTCCAGAGACCCTAACACAGGTGCCTATCCTTGTTTAGTAAGTGTGAATGTGGCAGGCTAAGGACCTGATGTGCCAAGCTGAGGAGAATGGAAGTTTCTGAGGCTTGCTGCTGTAATATAAATTGCTGCCATGTTAGTAGAGATGATGCCTCAGTTGACAGTCTACACATCTCAGGCATTTAAGAACACAGACAGAACTAGAATTAGTACACTGGGTGGTCAGTTAACATTTATTTAACATGAAGGCATCAATTAAAACTATTGATTTAATGTGAAGGCATCAATTAAAACTATTGAAGTTTTATTAAATTAAAAATGTGCCTTATTATATACTATAAGTAATCCAGTTACTTGAAATGTGAATTACTTCTATCCAAGCATCTCATGGACAATCTTGAAATGTGCATACTTTCCAGGACATTATCACTTAAAAAGCCTTCCTCCAACTATTCTCCTATATTGAGGTGGTAGTTTATTGCTCTCAGATGTGTTTCTAACAACAAACTCTTGACTTGAGGCACCCACACCAGTCCTGGGATCTGGGATGTTGCTGTGTACACATACCTTAGAATAGGTTGTTGTCTCCTTCTCTGCCTAAACACAGGATGGAAAATTCTCCCAGAGGACAATGCCCTTTTCTCTGTGTGTCATTTTCTATCTTGATGAGTGCTTTAAATGTAAAAGTCTTCATTCAATCCTGACATCTCAAAGTGGTGGGATTAATGCTGTCTCCCAGAGATGTTACTTTTCTCTTCACTGATTTGACAGAACACACCCACATGCTGTGAACTAACACTTTACAGTCAGAGAATAATAAACAGAAACTTGAAATATTAACACAACTGCAGAAAGCTCTAATATAATAAGAAACAAAAAGTAATTGTCTTCTTGTTACCTGAGAAAAATCTTCAATTATTTAATTTCTTTCGAGCTTAGATATGATTTCTTGTTGGTAAATAATAAAAGTCAAAATGTGCATAATGTGCTTTCAAAAAGGAGAATGACCCCTGTTGTTGATAGAGGAAACTATAGTCACCCTCATTAGGTCTAAATTTATTGTTAGCAATATTATATGAGGCTGAATAGTAAATAGAAAAGCCAATGTACTTGAGTTAGCAAGCTTAAATTCTGTATCTTCCAAGGTTCAAGGATTATTTTATAGAGCAGTTAAACTATCCCTAGATTGTTATTAGATTAAAACAATATCAAAGGGTAAGCAGAACCAATATTTTAGTTGATTCTTGCTATCCCAGGATTGTCAGAAGCTCTTTATTATTTCTGATTTCAGAATTCAGGAAATTGTAACACTTGAATTTATCTCTGTCTTTTCATTTTGGCTTTTGTAGGTTTCATTGATTTCATAGTAGAGCCAACATTTTCTCTTCTGACAGACTCAACAGAGAAAATTGTTATTCCTCTTATAGAGGAAGCCTCAAAAGCTGAAACTTCCTCCTATGTGGCAAGCAGGTATGATATTTCTTTTTTGCATCACTTTTCATCTTTGTGGTGTTTAGTAACCTTTTCCTTAATGCTTATCTATTTCTCACGTCTAGGCAGGGAATTACAAGAATTGTTTGGTAGTATTGCCACCTAGTGGCTTTATGTTATATTGCATCTGCCTTTGAGAACTGAAGTTTAATACACAAAATACCAAATACTAAGGTGTGTGTTAAGAAGAATCCAGTGTGGGGAGGGAGAGAAAGGAAGTGAGCAGCTGCCACGTACTCAGAACTGGAACAGAGCATCTGCTATCCTGGTTTTCTAGTCGGTTTTGTAAAGCTTTTCAGGTTTTCTTCCTTCACCCCATGTCCTGATGTTGGTGTTTTTTGTTTTTTTTGGTTGTTACTGTTAGCTCAACCACCATTGTGGGGTTACACATTGCTGATGCACTAAGACGATCAAATACAAAAGGCTCCATGAGCGATGGGTCCTATTCTCCAGACTACTCCCTTGCGGCAGTGGACCTGAAGAGCTTCAAGAACAACCTGGTGGACATCATTCAGCAGAACAAAGAGAGGTGGAAAGAGTTAGCTGCACAAGGTAGTGTTGTTTATGAAGCTTTACTGCCATCTCTGACTTCACTTCTCTAAGAGTTTGAATTATTTTTTTAGATTTCTTCTTCTATAGCATATGTAAGCCCTTGATGGTATTTGGAATTTGGCTACTCTGATTATTCATGTGAAAGTTGGCTTATTTATTAGATAAAAAGAGGTTCTGCTTTGTTTGTGCCACAATGGCTGCAGACATGTGTGTCAGTGGGTGGTGGCAAACTGGATACTGAAAAATGAAATAACGAAATGGTGACAAAACTTTGTGGTACAATATAGACTCCTGTGCTTTTGTAGAGGTGCTTTCCAGCTTGGATTTTACTTGGCAAGTGGCTTTGTGTTGCATTAAGTGTGTTATCACTTCATGTCAGAGACTTCAGTGTGTTTTTTCTGTTTCACTAGGTTGCTTTTTTGACTTAGAATTTCACCCATGAATTGGGGAAATCATTAATAATCAACCACCACAGAAATCAAATGGGAAGGTAGCTGATATGTTATTTCTAACATATCAGCTGCTTCAAATTAATTAATCCACTTAGGAGGTTTGTGAGTCAGTGTTCAAACAGTTATTATCTTTCATACAGGAATTAGCTTTCATATGCCAGGTCTGGCCTCTGCCTCTTCTCACATTCATTCCCGCAGCTGTGTCTCCCTCGTACACTACGCTCCCTGCACAGTGGCCTCCTGGAAGTTTCTTAAAATACTCCAGGGTCTTGGCAATTATTTTTTCAGCCAGAAATTCTTTTTCCTTATGCTTTTTGCAGCTTCAATGTACCAAAGAATAAACTTATTTTTCTTAAAATAGATAATAAAAGATCAAAATAGAGTGTTAAATCATATTTATAGTCAGAAGGACTCAATATTGAAAAGTTTTCAATTATGCCAAAAGTCAACTGTAAATATAATGTGTTTCCTGTGAAAATTCCAATACATTTTTCATTGAATTTAACAAATAGGACCTAAAATTTATATGGTATTGCAAATAGCTAACAATAGTCAAGACACTCCCAAAAGAGAATAAAGTAGGAATACTTGCCGTTTAAGAAATCAAAATTTACTATTATACTGTAGTAATAAAGTCAGTGTGGCTATGATACAGAGACAATAAGATGGACCTCAGGAATATGCCAGAGGACCAGAAACAGTGCATTAATTCCTGCAGAACTTGACAGGTGACAGACACACACATTCATATATGCAATCTTTTGTATGTTCTCACTGATTTACCCTTATGACGTTCATTTCTTCCTGTTTGAGCTACTATCTGGAGTCATTTCTCTTCACACTGAAGTACTTTCTTTAGTATTTTCTTATAATACAGTAATGCTGACAATTAGATTTACTTAATCTGGGAATTTCTGTATTTTACTTTTATTTATGAATAGATTTGCTTGATTTAGAATTTTTTTTTTCTTTTAGCTCTTTTAATGTGTCATTCTATTGCCTCTGGCTTCCATAGTTTCTGATACAGTGTTGGCCAAAAATAAATTGTATTGTTGCTTCCTTGTATGTACTGAGTCTTATTTTTTTTTCTTTCTATTTTACATACTTTTTCTTTATTTTGACTTTCAGCAATTTGATGATGATATGTCTAGGTCTTTTCTTTTTCTTCGAAATTCTACTTAGTGTTCATTGAGCTTCTTAAATTCATAGATTAATGATTTGCATCAAATTTGGGAAGTTTTCTGTCACTTTGCTCAATGTTTTCCTTCTGCCTCTTTCTCTCTGTTCTTTCTTCTCCTGAGGATCCTATTATGCATAACTTAGGATTCTGGAAATTGTTCCAGATGCTCTGGATCTCTGTCAATTTCTGTAATTCATTCTTTCTCTCTCTTTCTTTCTTTGTTCCTTCCTTCCTTCCTTCCAATTTTTGATTGGCTACTTTCTAATGATTTATCTTCAGGTTTACTGTTTCTTTCTCTGCCACCTCAATTCTACTGTAGATTTCACTGAATTAACTTTTCATCTCGGCTACTTTTTTCCGTTTTATTATTTTCATTTGGTTCTATTTTATAATGTCTATTTCTCTGTTGATATTTTATAGTTTTTAGTCATGGTTAGCATATTTTCTTTAATCCTTCAGAATTGTTTTCTTTACTTTTAAAAGCATATTTAAAAACTTGAAGTCTTTGAAGTCAATTTTAAAACTGACTACAAATAGCCTTTCCAAGGCTCTCTAATTTCTAGAATAGTTCTGTTAAACACTGCTGGGCTACCCTTTATCCCAACTTGGACCCCAGTCTTAGGGTAGCAAAGCTTGGAGTTTTTCCTCTCTAGTCTAAGCTAGATTCACCATTTTGTGTTCAAGTAACCAGAATTACTTGCTGCCTTCTCCCATTCCAAGTTAGCCTACCACCTCCACCAGAAAAGTTGGTTTTTGCTTCCATTCCCAGGTCAGAGTTGGAGAGGAAGATGGAGGGGTGGGAGTAGCTGCAGGCAAGAAGGTCATAGGCTTCTGCTATTTTTACCTGACTGTCCAAAAATTTTTTAAAAATAAATGTTTCTCAAATTACTGTGTACCCTTGATTGATTTCCAGAGTCATTGAATAGTTGTTTTTGTTAATGCTGTCCTGTTTTACACTTTTTTTTTTTTGGAGAGAAAAAACTCAACTTCTTTACATCCCTACAGCAGGAAGTCTTCTTCTTCACCATAGGTTTTAAAGGAATTAAATGAGTTTATTAATATAATTTGCTTAGAAGTGTCTAGAATACTAAATGTGATATGAGTTGACTATTATTAATATAACTATTATGTATTATGTTTCTGCCGTGTGTTCTAGAAATAAGGATTATAGGGCTACTATATAGAAATTACTACAGAAATTAAGGGTATCCCTAATGCTGAATTCTAAATCCAGCAAAACTATTCAGAAATGAAGTAAAAGACATTCCCAGATTAAGAATATCTAATTACTCTAGGAATTGGGGATAATTTCTATATAGTAAGCTGGTAAGGAAAGGCTTGACTGAGGAAGAAATAAATAAATACACAAAGGAGGTTAGAAAGAGAACCATGGAGAGGTCTGGAATGGTGGGGGGGCGGGCAACAAATTTTTAAACAGAGGGATTGATCACCACATTATCTAGGAGGCTGAGCTTGCCTGATGTGCCAGAAACAACAAGAAGGGCAGTGAAGCAGAAAGAAATTGGATAAATGGGAATAATGTAGACAATGTGATGAGTGGGTAGTGTGTGTCTGACCTTTGGTTTTGGCCCAAGAAAGACAGGAAACCAAATGTATAGTTTTGAGAAGAAAAGTTGATTGATCTGAGCTGAAGTTTCAAAAGGATTACTCTACTACAAGATGGAAAATATTCTTTTGTTTAAGAGGAAAAAATGGAAACAAGAAGACCAGAAAGAAGGCTGTTGTTCATAACCCAGGAGAAACATGGGAGCTTAGACCAGGTAGTAATGGTTGAGAGAGTGTATAATTTCTGGATACATGAAGATTGTGGCTTAAACATTTGCATGAGTAGAAGGAGGGTAAGCAAAAAGAGATTGGATCCTGAATATACAGGTATTTTGAAAGCTGGACTGATAGGATTTGTTATTAGATTAGATGTAGGAAACAAAGTCAAGAGAAGAATTAAGAATGATGCCAGTTTTTTTTAGTTTTCTTACATATTATTTGTTTATGGGTAAAATTACATAATCATTTCATGAAACAGTTTGGCATTCTGTAGCAAATTTGAAGATGCATATGCCATACTTCCTGACAATTTTATCTCTATATTTTTACCCTAGAGAAAGTTCTGTACATATGCATCAAAGACATGTCTAAAATATTCATAGCAGCATTGTTTATGAATGCAAAATAAAGTGGAAAAAACAGTAAAACTGATTCATATACTATAGTATGTTCATATTATGGAACAGCATAAAAGTGTTAAAGAAAATTTAATGATCACTAACAGGAATGAAGAACACAGTGTTGCACAAAATAAGCAAACTGCTGGGCTTTGGTAGGTGGTCTTCCCCTGGTACCACTAAGACTGGGAGGTTTGGACTGAGCAGAATTTGCCACAGTGCAGCAAAGAAGTTGTGCCCAGACTGCTTCTCTAGATTCCTCCTCACTGGGCAGGGCATCTCTGCTGGAAATCCAGCAGCTCCAGTCAGGGGCTTACAGACAGAACTCTCAACTCCATGGGACAGAGCACCTGAGCGGAGAGGCGGTTGCAGTTGCCAGTTCAGCAGATTTATCTTTCTTGACCGCTGGCTCTGAAGAGAGCAGCTGACCCTGACAAAGGGGATTCTCCCAGCCCAGCGCACCAGCTCTGCTAAGGAACAGACTGCCTCCTCAAGCACGTTCCTGACCCTGTGCCTCTTGCCTGGAAGAGACCTCCCAACAGGGGTCAACAGAAACCTCATACAGGAGAGCTGAAGCTCCCAGAAGGAGTAAACAGCAATCTTTGATGTTCTGCAACCTTCACTGGTGATACCCAGGTGAACAGGTCTGGAGTTGACCCCCAGCTAACTGCAGCGGACCTGCAGAAGAGGGGTCTGAGTGTTAGAAGACAAACTAACAAAAAGAAAGCAACAACAACAAACACATCAACAAAAAAGATCCCCACAAAACCCCATCCAAAGGTCATCAGCCTCAAAGATCAAAGGTAGATCAATCCAGGAAAATGAAGAAAAAACGGTGCAAAAATGCTGAAATTCCCAAAGCCAGAATGCCTTTTCTCCTCCAAATAATGATAACATCTCTCCAGCAAAGACACAGAACTGGACAGAGAATGAGATGGACAAATTGACAGAAGTAGGCTTCAGAAGATGGGCAATAACAGACTCCACTGAGCTAAAGGACCATGTTCTAACCTACTGCAAAGAAATCAAGAACCTTGATAAAATGTCACAGGAGCAGCTAACTAGAATAACCACTTTAGAGAGGACTCTAAAGACCTGATGGAGATGAAAAAAACACAGCACAAGAACTTTGTGAAGCATACACAAGTATCAGTAGCTGAATCAATCAAGCAAAAGAAAGGATAT